TACGCTTTGTATGTGGGGGCGCTTAAAGATGCTGTCTGGGTAACAGCAGAAGCCAACTCCGAGTGACGTAACATTCATAAACTGCATGTCTCACTTCGCGGTGTGCGGTGAAAATCAGTCGAACTGTGGACTATGTCAGTGGTATTCAACCTTTTTTGTTCACGTACCCCCAGATATAATTTCTCTTCAACTTTGTACCCCCAAAGTTGTTGGTGTGTAATTCAAGTTATACATAGTATATAATCTACATCTAAAATAAATTAAATAAATTACATTACTGATAATTCAGTGTTTATCATAAAATAATATATATATTTTTTTAAATTTCACGTACCAGTATGTAAGGAAGCATGTATTATCCACACTAAAAACATTATTTCCCAGCGGCAATGTCTCAGTTCCTGAGTCGGCAATCAATGTCTTTGGTTCGCATTGTATATGCGTTTGTTTCAATTTAACCCGCAAGGTGGTGACGTAGGCAAGACGCACAGTTTGGTCCTGACGTCTGCATATGTCCGACCTATCAAACCGTCCTTGATTTAATTACTCTGATAATATTTGGAGAAGCCAACAAATTATAAATATTTACCTCCTGCTACTTCACATGTTTCATATACAAATCTTGTTCCCTTGTCTGACACCCCCCAGTCTGTGTTTTCCTTCTTCTTCCCTTGCACAACCATACAAAACAGGAGATAAAATAACAGATTTATACATCTTAATCTTTACGTTCTTACATATCAGGCGGGATTCTTAATTGTTTGGTAGAAAGCTGCACCCCCGCGTGTTTGAATCCGATCAATGCCTGACTACTGAAACGTTCACAAGTCGACTGTACTCCAGCGTGTGTTTCGACCAGCGTAACATAATCAACGTCACTCTTCGACATATTTAAGAACTTGCGAGAATACGAGAGCATGATACAGCCACTTGCTTATCTGAAATACAGATACGTATTTTCTGTTTTCGTCTCATTAATTTTATCTTTCTTTCTCTGTCTTCCACTGATACCAACATCACAATGTCCATTCATTTGACTTGCACTTCTGTGCCCACTGCCCACTATAACCTGCTTCATTCTGTAAAAAACTTTAAAGCCTGCAGTGTTTTTACTCCTAGTGTCTAAGACCCTCTCTGGCTAAACTTTTGATGTTGTTCTTAATACCTTATCAAGGCCACATCACGCCCACAACATTATCCAATTTCTTAAAAGCTACGAAACTCTTTTCGATCTGTACCTGGCACTGAATTTTATCTTCCAAATCGTTCAGCGCCATACGACGTATTCATTTAGTCAAAGCCTCGTCCTAACTGTTCGAACCACCAGACACTGGCCAAATCCACTCAGAATAAATCCAAATGGATTTCTAAACGTTGCGATGCTTATGTTCTGACGCTTAGATTTGTTGACGTAACGCTAAAGCCATTAGCCTATCATAATTCTATTTGTTTTGTAAACTATCATCCATTGAAAGTTTTAAAAAGTCTCTCCCTGCTTTTGTATTGACACTTCAAAATAAAATGTCCGTGTTCCGTTTACAGAAGTGAATCCTTTAAGGCATCTTGTGCTAAGAGCGTTCATGTTCTCCGTGTCAGTCCCTGCCCTCTTCATTTGTTTGTTTGTTCGACTGATCTGGAAACGAACCAATGCCTTCGCGGTGAGAAGCCGACGATCTATCCGCCTTAGCTACGGCCCAGGCGTGAGTCTGGTAATTGCATCGGATGGCTTAAGTAAATACAAAATATTTTTCCTGAGCTCCGAACAAGAGTTAGCAGTTTTCACGGTAAATAATGCACGCGTGTTTAATTTGCTTGTCGATTGTTTTGGACGTCCAGTTGGTTTCGAAGCGTCAGTAACATAATTATGCTTATGCAACTGCAAACAAAGTATTGTTTTATACGTGTAAACTTCTTTGCAAATGCCGGACACATCAGAATTGTGAGGGCAACGCATCTAGCTGCCACACGAACAAAGACTCGTGTTCTACTGTTCAGTTGGTGCAATGTACTTTTGGAAGAACTTTGATCACGAGGCGTTGACAAGGCAAATCCATCTGGGTTTAGTAGTTGCTCTCGTTATAACAGCTGTGTCTAGTTGCCCAGCGATTCATCAGTCTGAAGCCGCAAGCCCTCAATCTGCTGGGTATCTCGGCCGACTGGACGCCTGGTACTTGGATCTTCCGCAGGGCAATTCTGATGCAAGATCGCGGAAAATAAGATGTGCTCCTGCCAAAGTTCTGCACACACCGCTGCATCCACACTACATCCGCCATGTCCACACCAGTCACGACGCACCACTGTTCTAACCTGCCACGGATTTTACTGAATAGCGGTATGTTCACTGTCAGTCCGTAACACGATCTTCTAACTTAAAATTCTGTATGCATTTTTTTCCAGACGTTCTCGATTTTCAGTCGTCGGAAAACATTTGTTACGTACCAGGCTTCTTCAAATATATTACCCGTATCCCACCTAAGCCCGACTTCCTTTTAATCCAGCCCGAATGTAACCCGATCTATTTACAATCTGCCCTGACTATCGCATGATCAATACATGTATATTTTAATGCCAAATGCTTGTAATCCTTAAATAAACTATTTAACTTCGACCCAGGAACATGTGGGTTTATTTCGACGTTTGAGGAACTGTGCAAAGTTGTCGGACACAGGATTTGTAAGGTGTTGTGTCGAAGCGTTGATGGGAGGAGGCAGCTAGTGGAATCCCTGAGGAAATCAAGTCGACGGGATTTGTTTCCGGAGCTCGACTGTGTCACGAGCACAAGATAACAGCTTTCTGCGTAAAAGCACTGGCCCGAGAAATATTATACTTTTCATTTGATCGCTCTAATCTGAAACAGGCCCGATCCCAGACTTCTACTCCCAACTGACCAAAGATTTCCCGTTACTCTACGCTTTCTTGGTTCTGGACAAGCATTTGAAGATCTGAAATTCGCAACTGCAAAGGCAAACACTGGTGAACTACGACATACATGAAAATAATTCAATCATGAACTCCAAACTTCCTGGAGTCCGCCATTACGGCAGAATTAGAACTGAAAAGCTAGTGCGTAATATTCACACTAGAAGGAACGAAAAAAAGTTGATGCAAGTCTGTTTGCGCTGTGTTGCAAACTAGCTCAATTTCACTCCAATCATTACGCAAACATTCAGTAACTGCGCAAACCCGATATTACGCAATTAATATTCCACGTGAAGGGGCTCTTTAACTGCTGTATAACTACGACATAGGGATCCCTGTCTGCTCAAGAACACACAACAGTCACGTTTAGAAATCTAAAATTATTTCAGTCTTCTAATGGGAGAACTGCGAAGTCTGTATTAGGTGTCAGAAAGGAAATTACTTTAAATATTATAAAAATTTACAACGATCAATCACCGTTGAATTAAAATAATGCAGTTTAATAAAATACCAGGGGTAGGAAAGGAGTCTGCATAGTAATTTAATCGATAAGTTTATTTTCATCTTCTCACTGAAAGTCGGAGATAAAACTGCAGAGAGACGGAACTGTCTTCTCTGAACCCCAATATAATAATCAGATGTTTATATCAGTAACATTTTCCGCAAGTTATTTAACATTTCAGACAAAACACGTAATCAAAACAATATTAACCCTTCTAAGCGGTAATTTAAATTCCGCGCTGCTTGGCGAGGAGTGGTGGCCATTTAAATTTTGCTCTAAAACACTTTATTTATCATAACGTTTGAACTATATAACATATAATGATCAATTCTTTACTGAAACCCTCTTAAAAGATGGTTTTATAATTACAGCGTATAATATGAACATCCTGTGGGTGAGGAATGCTAATAGTCGATTAGACGTTGAGTGTTGTATATAAATTATTGAAACGTCAACACTACCCAAATACATAGATTTTATCCTTTTCTAGCGGTTCCTGCACATGACGCAATGTCTTTGAGGCATTGAATTTCTTTCCTGTGTCAATAATACGCCGGAGTAAATATGTCTGCGCCAGCTGATATTCTGACAGCGAACTGAAGGCCACATATATGCATCATACTTAGCAGTTATAACCGTCTCTTTCTAAGAACTCTTCTGATTATAGACTTCTGAGTATAGGGGTGCTAAAATTGTTGATATTGGAAGACACAGATAAACATAATGGTATATCTATATATATATTATGGAGCCCCTTGACCGTTTCAGATAATTTTTTTTCCTCTCTCCTTCGCTGGAGCAGTTATCGTGTCATATGAGACTGAGAGAATGAGTGTTTAGTGGAAGATTGTGTAACCTCTTACGTCACGCATTTATTCGCAGACTAGCCTTTAGAGAACGAAGAATGCGACGTTGCCAATACATGATCAGAAAGAGCATTTCTTCCACACCAGATCAACTACAAACATCATATATCAGTCGTTATTATTTCCATAATTATGGGCTTTTGAAATTAGGCTTAACAGCAGACCGGGAATTTAAATGCCAGGACGTACCGATACGTCGCCCACCCGAGAAGGGTTAAAGATAAAAAATTTCGATAACAGGTTCGTTTCGATAATTTTAAAAGGAAATTCGCCTTTTGTGTTGATACATGTTATAAAAAGTTCCTTTCGAGCCACCATCTTTTTATGAAGCATCCTGTGATGATATAATCCCGACTTAATCGAGATAGTATATTTCCGAAATTTGGGCGTGGACCTCAAAGTCTACACGGTGTTACAACTCAGAAGAACGACGTTTTGTGTTGATACTTAATACATTTCGCCTGTGTCAGGGTAAAGGGACGGACGTCCAAAAATTTTAACCAAATTATGAACACTTATTTCATGCAAACTTTTGGAGGAATCAGCACATGTGGTTCTTTCAGAGAGCAGGGATTTTTCTTCCCGAGGCTCTAGGACACAGACTCCTTTATCCTGACAACACATAATTCTCCACCATCGTTTACAAATTTCACGTAGAGGGTTCAGTCCGTTCGAGATTCCTATTTAAATACAAATAAGAACAATGCACTTACTCACAAACAAACGAACATCGCAAGTTCCGGTCTGCAGAGTCTGACGTCAACTCTTCCTGCCCCTGTCGTTATTATGCACTGCAGCACAGATCGTCGTGAAACAATGAACACATTTCGCAACTTCCGGAACACCTTAGAACATTAAGTAGAAGGCAATGTTGTGCCTACGCCCACTAAGTACCGCGTACCTCGTAGCCTCAGGAACCCCGTCTCGGATCTGCGTGGTGGTCAGACCGGGCGAAGGCACAAAGCCAAACAATTTCCTGTCCACGCCTGGAATCAAACTCGGTCGTCCGGCCAGTAGTGCCAACTGTCAACTAAGAGGAAGACGGTTATTACGTCATCCGTAGTTTCTGCGTAGTGGCGTCTACATATCAGAAAACTCGCGTGTAGTTTAATTCTGTAATTATTTGCCTTCGTTTCTTTTACCAAGATAAATAACGCTCATGTATCACTGGTTGCCTCGTCTTGAATCTGTAATTCTCAGATAGCGACTTCCGGAGCAGGAAATGGCGATGAGACTGGAATCGGACAGAATTACTTACCTTCAGACCACATAACAAACACACGTCGTCACAACTCAGAAAACATCAATAGATGAATATATTTGATTCTTCGGTTTTTACGACGACGACCTTCCAACTGCATAATATGACGCATTTCAGAAGCGCTCAGGGTAGCAGGCCCACCTGTAAGATGCTTTGTACACTGACGACCATGAAAGTGAGGGAAGTCACGTGCGCAGGTCAGCCAACTCTTTCATTTAGCTGCTGTGTTCCAAATGCGTGGCCGCGCGGTCTGAGGCGTGGGCCTTGTGCCCCTGGGACCGTGGGTTCGAATCCCACTCAAGCCATGGATGTTTGTACGCGTTTTTCTCTGTCGTGCTCTCCTGTAAATAGGCACAGGCCTTGCGACGGGCCGATCCCCCATCCAAGGAGTCCTACCAAAATGTCTATAGATCAAGCCAACGAACAAGTTGGAACCCGCAGTCCTCAGGCATCAGTAATCTTCAGTTCATTTATTACTACAATGTCAATTACAGCGCATGCGTGCAGTAGACTGTAAAGAATTTCATTTGCTTGCATTTTGTTTCATATTTGCTTTGCGAAACTTTCTCCAAATGAAAGTTACAAATCGTAAACGAAAACTTCAGATATTCTTACGCTAACAGGATTGTTGTATAGGCTGAAGGCCTTAACTCGTCGAGACTGGGGGCTCATCTTACTGATGGGAGGATGCTCGCATCAGGAAATTTGTCCTCTAACAAGGGACTGGCCAGTGACTCGGGCATTTTATAGGCTAATTCGTACTTCATACTGGGCTTTAAAAATGTCAGGGTTTTATTCAAAAGGGGGTCAAAATAACCCCCCTCCCCAAAGTCGCGAAGTCAAAGTGATCTCATCCCTCTGGGTTCAAATCCCAGACATCCATCCAACTAAAGTTCCTTTCGCAAACGATAAATTGCCTGATCACCTCACACAAATAGCAACACGCCTTAGTTTGAACATGCCAGGCCTTCAGCAAAGACAAACCCCCCGTTAACGTAAGCGTAACCCAAATTTTTGTTTATAAGGCAATGTTTGTCATTTCCAGCAATGCGTTTCGTACACAAGAATGGTGTAACCTACCAAGAGCCGACGTCTTGCCCTTTCGAAAGAATAAACCCTTAGCTTTCTGTTACGTGGTTACATTCTGTTGGCCCCTTCGAACGTCAGAATTCCTGATCCTGAGTTCTGTTTAGTTTAGAAACATAAAATGTTGTATCGGTTACCTCTCCAGTGGCCCTTAATTACAATGCGAACGAAGTTTGACAAAGGCAGTGAATTAGCCAATTGCGATTTCAGCGATGGGAACAAAAGTTTCTGAAGACCTTTGAACTTACATTTGAGACTTTCTGATATTTTGGAGTCTGCATTAGCGACATGTGTTTGATCGGGAGGGTGACTGTTCGTGAAACCGAGAGGAGACAACACAGCACAAGAAATAATACGTCAGGGTTCTCTTGCCGCTCAGTTGGCAGGCTGCAGCTGACATAACACAGTGAGGGCCAATGCTGGCTGAAGAACGTCACATTCTTCTCACGAAAATAAACATATTAACAGTAATGTATGGCCGTATGTTCATGTGACGTCAAACGATCACATCCTAGAAGATCAAAAAACTTTGAAGATCCTGCAAAGACAAAAAAAAATTCGTGATTGTACATCGCCGATTTATCGATTAGTTGGCTCCATTCATTTCGACGTCGACTGGAATTTCACGAAAAATAAAAATATAATCTTATTCTAAGAATTACCTCAGGACGACCTAAAGACAAATGTTTATGTTTGTGAGGCGGCGGGAGAAGTGTCTTCGGGGAGACGTGGCAGAGACGCCATTTGCCTATATAAAACCCCCGAGCGTCGCGAAGTCATCACTGCATTGTACGGACGACGCGAGACAATGGAGAAGATTCAAGTGTTCACGAGATGTCTGGCGCTCGTGATCCTCTGCATTCTGGCTGCTGGGGCTTTCCAGCACCGCTCAGATGAGAAACAGTGGCGGGACAAGACAGACGTAAGGACCATTGTCCCTGCAGCTCCAAAGAGAATAAAATCATTTGTAGGGTGGAAGGGCCACTGGAAACCACAGCGCTGTCCTCCGGGCATGAAGAAGGATGGACTAGGAATATGTAGGATCGTCTGGGAGTAAAGTGAGGTAAGTGACACAGATTTCCATGTCACTGTGTTGTAAGTTGATTAGCCTAGTCTAGTACGAATCACATTCCACGAAACTTATCAACGCAGGAGACGATACGTTACGTTCTGAGATAAACAAAGTTATTTGCTTTAAATGGAATAAGGAGGACATGCCAAAGCAGTGGAAGGAATCTATT